TATATATATAAAATGTTATATCTACTTAAGTAATCTACGGTCACATACTTCGTCGTAGTAGTTCGTTATTTATATTTTGTTTCAATTTTTCATGAATTTATCTATGGTTAAATGTCTGACAAACCAGAGTGGGAATTATTATTAATTATTTACTCGCACAAGTATATTGCACAAGTGATCTCGTGGCATTTAGTGTTTTCGGAATTTAGCTGCTTTTCTTTACGTGTTATAATTCGATTTAAGTACATCCTTTTATTGTATGTACTTATATATCGATAGATATCGTTTTACGATATTTATCGAATAGGAGTATATGTATATATGCGCACGTATAGGTACATGGAAATTATAGTTACTTGTATACTTGAACGTCAATCTCGACACGGATTATATTTCGATATTATATTTTGTATCAAGAGTTCGTAGAGCACACACAATCGGTTTATAAGAAAATATCATAAACTTGTATAATTAAAGTTTTATATTTGTTTTTATATAAGAATTTAAATAATAATTTATTTTTTATTATTATATAAATTTTTGTTTTGTACTGTCGGGTACAATAACAGTTCAATATCTAAATGTTATATGATAGAATCTCAAATTTATTATTATTTATTTTTATATAATCGCGTGCTCTCCTTGTATATTATTTTGCGTAAACATTATGAAGGTTGAGAGAATAAATTGAAAGAACTGCTCGCGATTATCGTACGAGTCCATCTAACAGGCAGAGAAAAGCAATTAAAGCATATGCATTTATTATTGCAGACGATAGTGCGCATCCCGTAAACTTAAAAGAATGATGGATCCTGAAGTAATATCCCGTGCACCTCCTTCTGATGTAATGATATTTGGTTTGCTGTAGATGTAAAAGGTATGATATTTGGTTCTCATTTTAAATAGTCGTAATATGTCGCGTTTTTTGAGATTGTAGCTGATATATATGTACATATATTTCCGGTAAATTTAGAGATTCACGTAAACGCATATACATATACACGCGTGCGCGCACGCACGGGGAACCAGAGAGAGAATGCAGTTACCGTTTATTAGACGATGCCAATTATCGCGATAGCATTTCTTCCGTAAATGAAGTTACCGATCGTTCGCGAAGTTGTAGAATGTTCTGTGGCGAACGCGACTGATTTTATCCGGTCACGGGGGTTGACGGTAGAAATAATCGTATACCTAACGATAATACAGACGCGATATTTAAGGCAACGTATTTAAATAATTCTATGCAATATGTCTGGAACATATGTGAGGAAATCGATAGCGTTCGTTCGTATACTGTGTTAATCGTATGCGTGCGTGTAAGTGTCGATATTTTGCGAGATTGGGCAGATTGCCATGTTGCGTCAAGTATGCATCCTTCGCGAGATCAAAGAGATGGTAATATAATATAATAGAGGAAATTGATTAAATAATGTATAAATTCTATTCAGTTTGCGAGATTTCTATCTCGTTTATTAATAACATATAATCTTTCCTTGCATAGTGATATTTATTTCGGATTTTCTTCCGAGAGTATTAGTTTATTATATATTTTATTATAAATGTGTTTCGTCTTTCTTTGAAGAAAATCACTCCTTTATTTTAATATAACACTTTTGCTTAGCGAATGTATCCGGCGCGTTTTAGGACATGCGATTAATAGAAAATCTTGATTTCTATCTCTTGTATCGAAGCGCATGAACTTTTAGAATGTATTTTGATTATCTAAACATTCTAAACTACATCTCGTTGGGAAAGATATTGATATGCATACGAGATAATTGGGATATAAGAGATAAAAGAGTGAGCGAGTAGAATGCCAATGATATTTCCAATTATGTACAGTTTGCTTTTCAATTATGTTCCCTAATAGTATTTATTCGAATTTTATATCGAGCTTTATTATCTTCGTTATCTAATTGAGGAGTTGGAAGTCGTTTGTTCGCTATTAATCTGATATACGGCAAAAATCTGGATATTACAAGTGATTATAAAACTCACTTTTCTCTTGCTATTTTCTTTCATATTATTCAGATTTTTGCTTGAAGCTCATTCGTTTTTCAAACTACATACAATTATTTATACTGTTTTTTATCCAATTCCTAAATTATAGTCGTTTCGCGGATAGTGTGATCTACCTGTGCATTTATGTCTTTCATTTAGATCAAATTGCAAGTTTACTGTGTGTATTTTGTCAGAGATCTTTTTCTGAATATTATATATGGATGGATATCGCATACTTTCTTAGGGCATGCGATCGACATCATGTTCTCTTCCTACATTCGTGTAATGTACATATATACGCGTGTATGTATGTTACACACGATACACACGTATGTACATAAGTATAGATTTACGTTAACGGGACATAGATATTATATTCACGTTGATATATTATGTGTTGTTGCTGTTGATGTTGTTAATCGTAGGATATAGTCATAAAGATGAAAATGATAGCGCTAGCATAATCGTTGTTAATATAGCAACTACGGGGGAAGGGGAAAAGGGAAAAGAAAAAGAAACACAAGAGTTCTCCACGTTAATTACGACGAACACGTTCGCGCGCGGATTATTAATCGCGCATTGTCGATTTATTTTCGCGGATGCGTGCGTCGCAATGTTACCAATTTGTACCTGCGATGTTATCTGTCTTAACCGCTCTGGCGTTGACTAATGTTATTCTAGACAATGCTTTGAATGAAGGACTCCCAATTCGAAGATTACTTTTAGCGTCAGCTTTTTAGAATTCTATGTGATGCTTCACGCTAAGGTGGTTGAGTCTAGCGACGAGTATCTCCGGAGATGCTATTCGAGCTACTCGAGAGATTTGCCAAATAGATATTTAGAGAAGACGTTCAGCATCGAAGATCTCTGTAACGGACGTGTTTGTCGTTCTAGAATAAACGTGTGAAGACGCGTAGGCGTATTATATTAAACATAAGGTATGTGTAGTTTGAAACGGCCTACAAACGATCGTAGTGATTTGGCTCAGCTATATATTATTCTGTTGTTTTGAAAGTATTGCTCTCGTCGTACTTGTCGAGGTTCAAACTGGAGCGTCTAAACGTCCGCCGCTGTTACACAATTCCTGTCGAAACTAATTGTAAGCATAATGTTACCCGCAGCAGGCTTATCTAAGGATCTTTTGCTATTTATCTCTTTCTCTTTCGATATATATATCGTCCATCCTTCGAGTTTACTGTAATGAGGATCTCCCAACAACGATTCTTCGTACCTGACCGTATTATTCCTCGATCTTGCGTCCTCCTTTGATCCTCTTGATAATCTCTTCTTTTTAACTCTCAAGAGAGTTTTTTAAGTATTGAAGAAATGGCGGTCGATTAGGCTGCACCGATATTATGTATGTAGATATTAGAATTCTATTGTTGCGCGGCCGTGTGTTTTTGAATTATCTCAGTTTTCGCAGCGACATTATTGCCAATTCTCAGCCGACAATGAAATAGCGTAACTCGATGTACATAAGATGCAACGACGATATTCTTGTGGATCTATAAAGCTTTGTGTTGTTGATCTGAGTTGAAGAATTTTTTATTTCGAGTAATAACTTTGTCTTACAACGCTATACAGTGGCAGTCGATAGAGCATTTTGATTTATTTTGCGTAAAATGCGGATGTTAAACGCACTTGAATGCGTTAAATGCAGCGCGAATCTTGACGATTCCGTATCTGCTTCGTGATCGAGAGCTCGATTATCGAGATTGTAATGTAGCTATATCATAGAGATTTTGCGTTGTAGATGGTTTACTCGCTAGATATATCTATGTGAGTGTGACTATTCGTAATAACGAAAATGGAGAAAGATGCGCCAGAAGAAAAGGGGAAAAATAGCATGTGAGGAGAAAAAAAACAAACTTATCGAAACGATTGTAATTGTAGTAACGATCGATAACGCGAATGTACAAATGCTTGACGGTATTGTACGCACAGTAGAGTATGCATATGTAGATGTATACGTTACCTACTTATGTATCGGGAGTGTAGTTGCATCTCGTGCAAATGATTTTGTCTTCCCTCTTAGCTTATTTGCAATAACTCGATTTACTGTAGAAATTTCATAATTCTTAGCGTTATCGTTGCCGTCTCGATGATTCTATTGTCTGATCATCTCATCTACGTTAACTTATCTTTGTAATGCATCACACAATATGAGGGGTCTGATTTATTAATGTCTCGGTTATATATTTGTCATCCATATTTTTTAATCGACGATTAGTTCCGTTTGTCATCGATCGCGTACTTCTGTTTTGTAAGCGACGAGAGATTATAATAATTTGTTGTGTTCACATTATTTTCTTTTTCCCTTGTGATTTTCCTCTCCCATTTTCCGTTTATGATAATCAGGAGTTCAATCATCATTTCTATATATAATTATTAACAGGAAATATTAAAATTTAGTGCTTACGCGTACGCGAGTAATGAACCGACAACCTTGTGGATTAAACAATATAATTAATAATATTTGTTAATTGATTCTTAGCATAAATCTATATAAATTATTTTGCTGATTATCTTGTTATACCAATATCTTTTTATGATAAATTGACTTAAGTTTTTAATTTTTAATTGCTATGCATGATGTGTTTTTCAATCAATATTTTCATTCATTTCTACTAAGTTCGATGACAAACATTTCGCAATGAAAGTATCTAGACAGCAACAGTTTAAAACTATAAAATGTGTAATTAACGTGGTACACGCTATTCGCGTTCTATAACACTTGTACGTAAAAAAAAAAAATTATAATAAATGTGGCTTTCTCGAACCACTATATTATGCATAGCGTATATTTCGGTATATCGGTTGTATTGGACGTGTGACGGAAGAGTCAGATTGAAAAATAAAAACGCGAAACTTAAGATATACGTAACTTCGGCTATGCGTCTGTCACGTAATGACTTTTTCGACGCGATATCAATTGGCCGAAGTATTAATGCGGTGAAGCTCTGTGCAGTATAGTTTAGATTTTGGACAGACATCTGATTTCTGCAGGTACTTAAGACTTTTACGGATCATTAAACCAGGATCTGAGAATTTTCGTTCTATGATTTTTCTTTTATAATACGACTTTACGCTCGAATTCTTCGTTTCATAAAAAAAGATCTTTTTCTTTTTATAATAAATCTATAATCTTTATTTTATAAATTTTCTATTTCTTTCGATAAGCGATTAAATTTTAGGGAGACTACTCCTTTTATTGACTGTTTCTTACACTTAATAAAAAATGCATTCTCCGCAGATCTAGCACTTTGTGGATTTTAAAGTCATAAATTTTTCGTTTTTAGTGTTTGGAATTTACAATAAACAGAATATGTATATAGATACAAATCTTACGTTATTCTTACATTTTGCTTTTGTCACGTCCTTGCTGGTTTTTCAAGTTATTCTTTTCAGCGGAAGTCTATTCTACATATTACATATTCGATATTTTCGTTTTAAAAGAAGAATGAATTATTAATCGTTACGTTGAGGAAACATGGACGAGGAAGCTCGTGAATATCAGTAGAAATGAGATATTTGTCCCGCTATTAGCAATAGTTATCGATTAATCACGTCGACGATGTCTGACTATATAATATATATGTATGTACATTTGGCGATGTCCCGATCTTAATCGCGGCGTAAAAGAAACGTAATGGAAAATAACTAAGACACAAGATATTAATTTCATCCAAAATGATTTCTCCTCTGACTCACTTGTGCCTTGCCTTTGATCATCCTTCGCTGTTCTGTATATCCAGGTATAATCCCTCTTTTCTAAATAATCGTCTTCGATGTTCGATGTCCTTTCTACGAATAAGAGAATTATCAAGTAGGTCGGTATATTAAGAAAGCGTTACTTATCCGTTTGCCGTAATGGTACTAGCTCGTAATCGATAAATGTACACCGAATAATCTTACGATTTTAGTCTTTAAGACATCCAGAGTGATTGCATTCGGATTATGGACGCTGGCAAAAAACTCCGCTCGAAAATATATTTAGAGCATTTAAATAATATAAAATATCTCGATGTGTTACAATTCTCGTTCTGTAACCCAAAAGCAAAACGTTTAATGAATTTGTCTAATTTTGATGAGATTTTTTCCTGTAAAATATAATTTCGATAATTAGATTAGCGAGATTTCAGAGCAGATTGACATTCATCGGATCCGATGCTTTACGCAATTATTATAAAGAACGCTGCTTAATTAGAGTGCATTTATTAAGTTTTATTTACTAATTAACAGGAATCATTATACGAATTACGGGGAGAAAGCTAATGTGGTAGATGATGTTCGTCATAGAGGAAATAGACGGATATTTTATTTTGAGATAATTAGAATATATATTTATTTAATTACATCTACAAAATCATAATATGGAGAGTAGAGTATGTTACATGCGGCGAGCTTTAAAGTATATCTTGTGTTACGATTAGTTGTGATATTAGTTAATATTGTTATGTAATTACCTGTGTCTGGATATTCGATTTGAATATAAAGATTTCGATATACAATACAGTAAACATATTTCAATTGAAACTTATCTATGCCAGGCTAGCTCGACGTATAGAGAAATTATTTTTTCAACTTGATTTTACGCAGCGATTTTATGAATTATGCGGATGTCACAAAGAAAGAGGACACATTTCACGTGTGGAAGATAGTCTGCGTATCATACGAATGAGTATGAAGGAATTTCAAATAGAGGATATTTCATGGTACAATGGTAGTTTGGACTGCTTCCATCTCGATAGGTTTCGCTGTCGCTTGGAGGAAGCGCGCCTACTTTCGCTCTTGGGTCGAATACGCAATTTGGATCGATTTCCGGTTCTTTACCGTGAAGTAACTAGCAAGCTGTAGAAGAAAATTAATTAATTATCGCGGTTAATTATCGCGATGCTTTATATAACGGAGCAGAATGAAAAATCGATGCTTGCTTACATATGTTTGCATGATCTTTTCGCGGTCGCGAAGCTAGTCGTACTTTCTCAGAAGCGAACATCGGATATCAAATACGATCGATGAGAAGCAATTTCAAGATTATTTATAAACCTGGATGTATTTTTTAGAGAACAGAATTAGAGACATATTGTTACTTGCTATATGAATATCGGTACCATTAATGCCCACTTATATCCGTACGATAAATCCATAAGTTATAATAACGTTATTCTATAAATGGCTGTACTATTGTAAAATCAAAGATATAGCGTACAATAAAGTTTAGTGTTGTAGGAGAAAATGGTGTGGAAAGTGGCGAGATATTCTTTTCTCCTCTTATCATATTTTAAACGGGGAGTGTTTATCGAAAAAGCAACATTTTATTTAGAAGATACCAATAATGAATATAATTTCTTGCATGTTTGTAATAAACTAGTATTTTATTTATTCGTTTTACAATATGGTCAATTGTCCAATTGCCAAAGGATAATTATATTAAATACAATAGATAATTAAATAAAAGACGTACAGTTTAAACCTGTTAATTTTATGTTATCGTAAATAATTAATTATCTAAAAATATACATTTTGCACTTTTGCCTCAGGTAGACGGTTTTTGCACGTATGCTATTAAAAGATAATATTTCAATATAATGTCATCTTTTTGCTTATTTATATTAAGCGGAACATTACCATTCTGTTGACTCATTATTTCGTTTACAAGTTTTTCCAAAAAATAATTCTTTATATTTTCATCGGGAAATCGCTTGATAAAAGGATTAACGGCGCATACGTGATCTGCAAAGGTGCAAATATAGCATGAACAATAGTTCTTAGGAAATTCTAAACAAAGAAATAATTAATCTTGTTGAAATGGATTGAATACGTAATATTAATTAAATTTTGATTGTCTTATTTATCCTTATCCTTATCTTCACGAAAAAATAGACAGCAAATTTTCTCATTTAAAAATACTTGTGCAATAATAATGTGTAAATATCTTACTTGTGAGGCTCTGTTTACTGTATCGAAAGTTTTTCTCCCTGTTGCTGCAATGCAGAATTTTGAAACCAATGTCTTGTAACATTTCTTCTAGACTCGCTCTCATATCTTTGCAACCAATTCTTTGAAAATAAGGCAAGTAACGATGCGCATCCTTTAAACAAAAAAGAAATGAACATTTGAGCGCGCTTGTTATACGCTTATTATCACGTATTACATATGTGTTATTCTATTTTAATCATATTATAATACCTGTAGATAAGGCTGAAATCGCGGATTCTGCTTCAACCGCGTATATGCCTCAAATCCCATGTGATATGCTATAAACATGACTAATGCTTTTCCTTCTGGCCGTAGAAGCTTGTAAATATTTTCAAAGGCGCGCCTAAGTTTGATACTTAATTAGAAAATTTGCAAAGGAAATCATACAGAATTAATATTTCTATAATCTCTATTATAAGTGTTAATATTGCTAATAAAATCTTCGTATGCGATTTTCTTCCATGGTAAAAGAATTATTATAAACCGCGATTTACAAATCAATTATCACATTAAATAAAAAAATATTGAAAATACCAATCATTACACCAACCGTAAATCTATACACCAATGGAGACAATAAAATGAAACAGCGTTGTCGTATTGTTCGATTTGATCCTTTGGTAGATCCAATGATTCGATATCCAGAACGATGTAGGACAAATGATTGTCGGCGTTGTTTTTGCGTGCGTAATTCACCATTTCTTGCGATATATCGGCACCTAATAATTCGCATCTAATTCTGTTAAAATGCTGCGCATTGCGTCAATTTTTTATTCATACCTACCTACAATTGTCGCCTCATCTGGCAACAAAGGTAATAGGATATCTTTGGTGATTTGGCCTGGGCCGCATCCGATATCAAGGCATTTCCCATTCATCAGTGACAATTCATTGCTGTATTCGACAATCAGATCGTTGGTGTCGCGATGTTGCATATTACTACCAGTAATGTAATTCTCAGCCGAGTTCATGATGCACCGTTGTAATAATACTGTTACTCAAGACGTGCGGATGGAAAAATAAGGAAATCGAGAGCAATTAAAGAACGCGCTGAAAACGTTGAAAAATTGTTAAGGTTTCGAGAACGAAAATATCTTTTTAAGAGCGATTTCCTTTAGATAGCTTTATTTCGAGACGATTTTCACAGAATTAAAAGTTTCATAAAGGCAAACAATTAATTGAGAAAAATAGAAAAGCCTAAGAATAGACGATTACATCATTTTAATAAATAATAAAAAATAATTAAATTACTTTGAATAACAGCTGATAATGTATATGTGTGTTAGAGGATTTGCACTAAAGGTGCCTGAAACAGGGCAATTCGCCGATCTTTGGCGCGCGTAGGCTACGTCAGTAGAGTCGCCATCAAAATACACTGTGATGTATAAATAGAGTACGCGAATTTTCAAACATTTGCAACTAAAAAACAAAACTTCCACCGCAATTCTGTTACTCTTGATTTTCGTCTTATTTTATCATATAGAATTCAACAAAGGTAATAGGATATCTTTGGTGATTTGGCCTGGGCCGCATCCGATATCAAGGCATTTCCCATTCATCAGTGACAATTCATTGCTGTATTCGACAATCAGATCGTTGGTGTCGCGATGTTGCATATTACTACCAGTAATGTAATTCTCAGCCGAGTTCATGATGCACCGTTGTAATAATACTGTTACTCAAGACGTGCGGATGGAAAAATAAGGAAATCGAGAGCAATTAAAGAACGCGCTGAAAACGTTGAAAAATTGTTAAGGTTTCGAGAACGAAAATATCTTTTTAAGAGCGATTTCCTTTAGATAGCTTTATTTCGAGACGATTTTCACAGAATTAAAAGTTTCATAAAGGCAAACAATTAATTGAGAAAAATAGAAAAGCCTAAGAATAGACGATTACATCATTTTAATAAATAATAAAAAATAATTAAATTACTTTGAATAACAGCTGATAATGTATATGTGTGTTAGAGGATTTGCACTAAAGGTGCCTGAAACAGGGCAATTCGCCGATCTTTGGCGCGCGTAGGCTACGTCAGTAGAGTCGCCATCAAAATACACTGTGATGTATAAATAGAGTACGCGAATTTTCAAACATTTGCAACTAAAAAACAAAACTTCCACCGCAATTCTGTTACTCTTGATTTTCGTCTTATTTTATCATATAGAATCACTTTTTAAATTTTGTACCACCTGTTGCCGAATACCCTGTACGTATGGTTCTCTTTCAACTAATATATTTTACGATTTTTATTCCAGTGCCTTCAAATCCGCAAGATGTCGATCGAGAAGTAATGCAATTGCGTTCGGTCTTACAACAGAAACGAAAGGAAACGAAACAGAAAAGCCGTCACAGGTTCCTTTTTCCAGAAGTATCAAGGTAGGTGATAGCTCACAATACTGGTTTCACTTCTCTACTGCTGACTTTTTAACTTCGTCTTTGGTATTTATATTCGGCGACTCGTATAAACGACTCTTGCTCTTCCTCCTTGCCGTTCTCCCATTTTATTCTCATCTCCCTACCAACTTATCCTATTCTTTGTTGCCTTCTCTATTTTCCTATTTCAACAGTCGACAAATCTTTGTTAGACTATCCCACTCTACTGTGTATCGTTTTAACTATTATAGGCGGAAGTTCAATGACCTATGTGCATCCGGTCGTTTGGTTACACTTATTAACGCACTATCAATATCAATATATCTATAGCTTGATATTTAGTCAGATTAATAATTTAATAAGAAGGAAGAGTTGCATAAAAAATATATATTGAGCTATATATAGGCCGCCTTGATTTAAAGGGATGTTTATTAGGATTAAGAGAACGCGCCATACATATGGCAGCACGAATATAGACAAGACTTAGTCATGTGTTTTAAGAGATATGGTTTTCGAAATGGAACAAACGGCCCCTCCTAGCTATTTCATCTTATTTATAGCAACTTCGAAACTATTTTTGATTCTATAAAAATCCTTTCTTCCAAAAATTTACACGAATAATATTATTTTTATTAAAATACCTTAGTTTTTTTTTTAAATTATTGTCTAGAATAATTAATAATATGAAATGCTAAAAAATTCTTTTCTGTTCAAATAATCTTTCTCTTCTTTACTTTTCGCTCAATTTATTTTTCGTTAAATTTTTTGTGCTTTAAACGAAGTCAAAAGTGCGGCGCAAGTTTAAATTCAAAGTACAAGATATCAGGAAAATGCGTAAAATGAATTTTACCGTAACCTTACTCGGACAAAAGGGCTTATCGTTAATAATCCGTAATTCGATCGACTGCGAGACCCCTGGATCCTTGCCAGAACGTTCTCGAGAGCCCTTGAATTAGTCTTATCTTACGGTCGCATGTATTTGCCTTTTGGACAGCGCCGTATTTGCATATGCGCGGGCACACTCCATACACGCACGCTGATAATATACAAGGTGTTTTCCTGATCAAACACTCGTATTTCTTGGCGGGGGATCCTTCGTTTTTTATCTTGCTCAATGACCCTTAAATCTTGTCTGAAATGCGCATACTCGCATACCAACGGGTTTTATCCGGTCGCATACTAGAAGCGTTCGACCTATCTATCTTATCGCACAAAAATCTGAATTTTATTCTGTCGATTAGTCAATGATCTTCCGATTTTAATTAAATTTATTCTTTATTATTTATACATGTCGAAGCACGCCATTTTTCTATAGTACTTGACGAATTTTCTCAAGCGATTGACGGCAATAAAACGTGTAACGTTTGAGTCTCGTTACGTTGTATATTCCGTTACCTTCAGCTACCGTAAATCAGTTTGGCGACGCGCCTGTATAGAAAATATTTATGAAACTCGGCGGGTTGACCCGCACCCTCTCCTCTGACGTCGTTGTCTCTCTTTTCTCTCGCACCGTTTATCTCCATTTTCTCTGCGCTCTGCGCAAGGTAATGCAATATGCACTCGCGTCTCTTTCAAAGGAGATAACAAAAGGTCGTAGCGCTCGCGCTCACGCACTACCACTATCATACGGAGTTTATAAAAGCTCGGAAGCGTCGCGCAAGAAAGCAGAGAGGGAGATGTAAAGATGCATTGCCGGGTCCAGCCGGAAACGGCAGCCCGCTGCAGCCGCGTGTCATTTTCGTCACGCTCGATCAGATTACTTTCCACCAACACATCGAAGCCCTTGTTGCAAATTTTTAAGGATGACCGAATTGATGGTCTTCGTCTTTTTATAATAGAGTAAAATTACGCGTCGCACTTTTCTTACCGCGAGTCTTGTTTTCGAGTCGTTGTATAAAGTATAGGATATAAACCCGTTATAAAAAAAAAATAAAATAAAATAAAATAGGATAGAGGATACGAAGAGACGAAATGGGCCAGTTAATGTTGCGACTTTATTATACATCCGCGAGTATAGAAACTTTACGAGAGCGCGACGTTATGTTTCGTTATATCTCGTCGAAATCTTCATCTCGCGAAAATTTACGATAGCGGCATACATAAGAGTTCTCCGGAAATAGAAAGATGCTACGGATTTATTGGGCAGGTGTGAGTCTCGCGCGCGTTGTAGGTTGTCGTGGAGCTGGTGGAGGATTTACGTAGCGCCGGTCTCCTTCGTTCGCGCTCGCGCTAAAACCACAAGCATCCTCGATACTCGATCGAGCTTTTGCGAAAGGGAACGCTGCGGAGGACAGGGCGGAAGTGACGGCTCTTCTCGAGGGGTTGGGGATTGCGTGCGAGGACGTGGCCGAGGAAAAATTGCCCGGGTTAACGTTGAAAACTGCAGCCTGCGAGCCGCTGAATTTTTCCAGGATTAATGCCCCGGCCTTAATTACCATGTTCGCGGCTTACGTCGTACTTTCCGATACGTCCGTTTGTATTTTTACCTGTATTCGTCACAGCCAAAAGATTTGCACGCTGAACGCGGAAGAAAAATGAATAATGGTGAAAATCGTCTCGCAGATATTGAAAGTTGCCGCGATTCTTTTACGAGTTCGTTCAATTATAGAAGCTAGTGATGGACGAAAGTACGAAAGGATTAGGGATTCTTTGGCATCTCGATCCGGTACTGCCGGATGTGGTCCGAGGAAGGGCATATCCCTTCTTCCTGTCTTCCATCAGCCCTTTCCTTTTCCACCTCTCTAGTCTCTAGTCTCGTCTCTTTGCCTAAATCCTTTGGCCGGATCCGCGTGTATCGAGTGGGTGGGGTGCGGCCGAGAACGAAGGGCTTTGATAAATGACTGACGCGGAAAAAAATCCGCGTCGATACGTCTTGCTCAAGGAGATGCGCGTGCGAGAGAAAATGAGAGAATCGTCAAGAGAGACAGAGTGAAAGAGGGAGAAAGAGAGAGAGAGAGAGAGAGAGAGAAGGACAGATGGAGGGCAAGAAAAAGCCGTTGGTTCGTTCCCGCGGTCCACCGAGATGTAGCTATTCTATATCCCGCATGCGATCTGCATTCCCTTTGCACGCTCGTTTATTAAAACCAGTGAACAACACGCTGCGTTCGCAAATCGATCCGCGTATAAATGTTGCCGCGAGAGTATCGGGAGATTTTACGCTTCCGAAAATTCATTAATCTCCCGTCGCGCGCGCGGTGTCGAGTTTAATCGTGGCAATTTAAGTTTCTCCGCGCGTATCGTGAATACAAACGACGCGTATATTTTCGCCGAGGGAAGAGTCGTGGTTTTTAACAAATCACATAAAGCGCGAATCTCGCAAGTCTCATATACTTTAATATATATAGGACTTTAAGATCAATTTAATTTCATAAACGTTTTTATTTTTAATTACATTTTTGTATTATATATATATATATATATTTACTTTTTTCAGTCAGATGTGACATATGGTTTAGAGAAATCTCGACACACTCTGTATGTGCGGATATTCTCGAACGATGGTCCTTTCGCGGATGCGTGCTTTATCGGAAAACACTGAGTGAGATATATGGAGAGATTATGCGAGATGGCGTTTCGGAGTCGAACAGGCCGCTATTCTCCGCTCCGTCAATTATGCTAATTTCGATTGCCGCGAGATTAATGGAAGAAGGCGGCGTCTCCGCTCCGAACGCTCTGCGTTCTCTTTCTCTCTTTCTCTCTTTCTCTTATGAACGCTCCGTCGGTGGGAGCATGACGTTCTTTCCGCACTCGGCCGACCGTGCATAATGCACTCGACTTGCAATTATTGCAGATCCATCCTCGGTCGGTTTCAATCCCGCAGCAACGTCTCTCGTCCTCGGGAAAATGCAGTCAAACAAAATCGCGCTATATATAGATATAAACTGCAATTTTAATGGAATACATTATTTTTCTAGATTTTTTTTTTATATATATCAAATAATATACATATTATCGTAGAAATTCTTTAAAATTACAAAAACTGCAGAAAAAATGTTCGATGTGCATTTCCCTCGCCCAAATAATGCGCGAAAATCCAAGTGTTCGATAAGAATATGGAACGTTGAGTTTCCTTCTCGTGGAAACTAGAAAGGATTT